CCCAAGGCAATGAATATATGACTGATTTGCGTGATCAGATTGCAAATCAATTAATGTTGAATGCTTGAAATTAATATTTGTAAGCGAACTATTTGTACGCAAACAATTATGTTAAAGACTTGTAATGACTTTTTGTTCGTTGTTGATGGTTTGTTGTTGTTTCATTTGTTGGTCCTTATTTTAATAGTGGTTTTGCTTTACGAAAATTTGACTTTTTGTTCTAAATTATGAAAATCGGTAATATGTTAATATATTGAGTATCAATATATTTTCGTAAGCAAAAAAGAATTTGAAATTATATTTAAATTTTTTGATAAATAACATTTTATGTTAGCTCTTAATACAATACATATGGTAAACAATAATTTTCAATCAGCACTTACTCCAGAAAGAGGGACATAATAGTCTTTTTGACATAATCAACACTTAATAAAAAATGTTTGGTAAACAAGAAAATCCAATCAGCACTTACTCCAGTCAGACATCTTACCACAGTCAGACCTCTTACCCCAACCAGCACTTAACAAAAAATGTTGGTAAACGGCCCATAACACCATTAATAAAATACTTTTAACTCTCGGGATATTTTGGTCTTTAAGCCTTTTTTTTCATTCTTTTACCATGTTTTTAAAAAATTGTATGATATAATATTTTTATATATTATATACGTTTCGCATCATAAAGCATTTAGGAACAAGCCTTCTTTATGTCACCAATTATCACCTATTTTTCCTTCCTTCGTCCTCTTTGATCAATCTCTCTTACGGATGACCACTGCCCCTTCACATCTATTCGTCACAACAAAAGCGACACCATGCCTCTCCTCGCCACCTTACCTGAACCGCACTGACTTGATTACCCAAATCAATCCCCACTTGAATCACGACTCTGTTTCTTATGTCTCTCTCTCTCTCTCTCTCTCTCTCTCTCTTCCCTTTTTCCTCTCTGCTATAAAATCACACAACGGCTATGGATTAAACTAGCCTTTCTCAAATCTTGTTTACTGTGTTGTGGGCATGATTATTGTGTTTTGTGTTATATCATATGAATTCTATGTGGATTCTATTATTTCGTTTTCAGGAAGAAGAAAAAAAAGATAGAGGGCCCATATTGGTTTCTTTTGAACATGATGACTAGAGAGGTTGATATGACGAATCATGTGGATATAATGTTTTATGAGGAATGCTCTGATTTATATGTATGGAATTAGGGATGGAATTAGGGCAGACATTGGGCTGGTAATGCACCCCCCCCCCCCCATTCTCGACCATGCTCCATGTTTAAGTATCTTGTCCTCACATGACCAATCACCAATGGGTTTGGGTAACCTGTTTAGTAAACAATAAATAAAAACGGGGTATTTTAAAAGTAACATAAGAAGTTAATTGTTACTAACTTAATTAACAGTATATGAAAATAAAATATATTTGTTATCTAATAATAATTGTGTATATACACACGTGTACATATATACATATACACGTATTTAACAAAAAAAATGTGTTAAGTTAAAGGTGGCTAGTGTCATTTGCTTTGCAGAATTTATCTTTCTATCTATCAGTGAGGACTTGAGTGACTCACCCTAATCAATAAGCGGGAGCAGGTATCGAGTGTTGTGAGGGCTTTGGGCTGGGAAGTGCCGAAGAAGGAGAGAGCAGGCAGCAGTGGTGAGTCGTCTTTTGTATCGCGTCAAGAAAAATGACATCCGTGACTTGCTTGCTTTGATATGAAAATTACCCTTGTCCATGCTCTGTTACTCACTAAAGCGGGGAATCCCCACCCCATTAAGGTCACGTACCCATCGGTACACGAGTACAATTCCATTATCTGTTATACCAAAACAAAACTCATTAAATTACATACAAGGATGAAAATCAAGCCAAAACTTTTATAACCATTATCTGCTATAAAATTTATTCATATATTCAATGTACTACACGCCATAATATGTCAATCTGGCCATTTTAGGCCAAAAATTAAGTATAGAATAACACTTAACGAATTTTATACAGTTAACTAGAGATTGGCAGAGTGATTAGAATACGAAGTGTCGTGACCGTATAAACAAAGTTTTCATGACAAACCTATCAAGTTGCGTTTGTTATACATTTAAGCTTTGCCGTTTATTATTGTTATAGTCACTAACTGGCGACATATATCATCCTCATTTACCTTATCATGTAACATTTTTGGTCATTAAAAAGTATTGTTGGTAAACATTTTTAATTCGGTAAGTGTTTACTGGGTAAAAGTCGTTTATATTACTTGTCGGATAAGACTCTTTAATCATTGTCATGCTTCTTACCATGTAAGATTTTCAATTTTGATCATGCTCAACCAATAAGGTATGTGATATCGACAAACATTTAATTGGTAAACATTTAATAAATGACCATTTAAAAAAAATATTATTAAAAGGTAAATATAAAATTATTTTACTAAAGATAATCTTATATGGTAATTATTTAATGATTAGATTCTTATCTTTTTTTCTTCATAATAATCATATTGAAAACATATATTATTTTACTAAAAATGATTTAATTACTATAATTGTAGAAATAGTCATATAATTAGTAAATATATTTCCTAATTATTTAATTAATATAAAATTAAAAATTAAAATAAAGTGACCGTTTTTGTATTAAATAAAAATATTAAAAAAAGAACCCAGACTTTCAAAGCTGAAATAAATAGGCGGGTAAAATAACACCACACCTAAATGATTCCCGCCAAAATCCTAATGGGTTTACTTGCTCATAACCCGTACCCTCTTGTTTTGTAGGGGAAACCAAACGAAAACTCCCCTTTTTGAGGATGGTTATCACACGGTTATCCAATCCGAGTTGACTCAGCTTTTCTTTTTTCCCTTTTATGTTTAATTTTTTAATTTGTTAAAAATTAAATGCATATTTTTTCCTTTTTTGAATAATTTTTAATTGAAGTTGGAATATTTATTTTATTAATAATTTTAAAATATATCGAGTCTATTTTACTCAACTTTTATTGACCTGTATTTAAGGTATATGATTATTTGGATAAAAAATTGATTACCGACAACCTCAACCGACTCCACCTGTCATCGAGGACACTAATTTGAGGGGGCATTTTTGACTCACTCAATGGTTGAGACTAGCCCTGAAGATGATCGAACTCATGATCTGTCTTGTATTTGGGCAAAGTCGTTTCAATCTCTTTGTCAACTGAGCTACATGACAAAGGCTTAAATCTAATTATCAGTCAAATTATTTTTGTAGAAGTAAATCAAATCAAATTCAACAAATATAATATATCACTCGAAAATAGGGTCAAAAGGGGTATGATGTACATATATTTTTTTCAACACTGAAAAGTAAAACGACTGTATCTGTAAAAACTCCAAATTATTAAAGAATTCGTTTGCAAACAGGTTTCCGGAGAGTATTCAGTGACAGTTGGGAAGTTTGTAAGTCAAAAGTTACATATAGTTTAGGATAACAAGAGTAGATGCATACTCGTTTATTTTCAACATCAGTAAATAATAAATGAACATTTATCTGCTTATCTTATACTTGATTTTATCTGGTTAATAATTTTGTTCCTTTTTATAACATCACATGCACATTGCTGATAAAAATATGTAATTTAGTTCGGGAATTCTGTCAATAAATTTCTATCACATCGGATAATGGAACATTTGAAATAGAAGGTAGCAGATAATATTCTTCCGGTATTATGATGTGTTGATTGTTACCCGAAATGCAAAAGTTGACGATAGTCACAATCTGTTGTATGCGAAGATGATTATAAGACATATGTGCCGACACATGAAAACAAACAACATATCACATAACGCCATTTACGTCAACTGTCAACATGTACAAAAATTCAATGCATCTCATAATGTTATATACGGTCAATCCATGTAGATGTCATGGACATTCGTGTCGTAAATTTTATATAATCGGTCGTTTTTGTAATCGTAGGTATACGGACCAACTTAAATCAATAAATGCACATCATCTAAAATCACGAAGTCTTGAAGTTAACAACCAGATAAACCTCTAATTAGTCTATAACTGTTTTTTTATCAAGTGTATCAGATGTTTATTTCTCTTCCAGAACTGATGCTATTGATCATTTATATCGAAATAATATTGAGGTTTTTACATACTATTTATTTTTTAAAATTATGTTAATCATATTTTCTTCGAAATTTGACCTTCATTTTTTTTATATAGATTTTATGCTTTCATTACATAATAAATATAAATTTTTTTTATTAACCTGAAAATCCAACTAGCTATGCAATCCGACTAATTTCAAGCAATCACCTGCTTTGCAGTAGCACATGTTCATTCAATTTGAACTTCCATGACCACAAGAGAATTTTTATTCATCATTGGATTTGAACCTGAGACCTCCAAGCATTTTTGACATTTGAAACTTAAACTCAAGCTAATCAGACACCACATTTATGGTTAAAATTTTTCTATTAGTTATATGGTTCTAAAATAAATATAACTTTTTTAAGGTATAATTTATTTTCAACATTATTTACAGTACATTGTAACACTTATCTGGATAAGTATGATTCACATTTTCGCATCATGAAGTTGGTTCAACTCATTTAAAAAAAGCACGAGTTAAATGCATTTCTAACTACTAATTTTATCTTCGCATAGATCAAAAACAAGACTCAGAGTTTGTTTGTTTACCTCTTAATAGTTTCATGAAGAGATATCATCTGAATTGTTAAGAGGTGAATTTGGTTTGACAAAAAAAGTCTGTCTTTTAGTAATTCTAAAACCCTTTAAATGATTTTGTATATTGAACCCCCGAACCATTCAACCTTAATTTCATTCAAAACAATTACCAAGAAATCATATTACATTTTGCACCATATCTTAAGAGTCTCTTAATCATTCTGATCATTTAATTATTCCACACCAAACGATTCAACAACTGTTCACTTTTTACATTCTCAATGCATGATTTGATCTGATTATAATATAAAAAAATAAATATAAATCACTTGTTACAAAAACATTTTGCATGAATCCCATGAATTAAGGGAATCTAAATTGTCGATACCATAGATTTTAAAAAAGGTAAAAGGAAAATCTTATAATTTTCAGATTGAGTTGTTATTAAAAGAGGGAATATATTAAACAATTAAATTTCAAAATCTGGCGAGTCAAAATCGGAATCGGACGAGTCACAAGTTGGAAGACTCGGACGATTCAAATCTAAAAACCACCATCAATATATAGAGAGGAGTGTGTACTGAAAAACCCAATATTCGTCTCCTCTGCAGGTATTTTTCTCTAGGGCTAACCTTATATACCATATCAGGGACGGATAACATATACATACACAAACATATATGCGCTTATATCTCTGAGGCAGACGAAACCCTAAGCGGGATTCTAGTGGCGGCTAACTTGTATTGACGAGGTACGATTTCATTTCTGCATCGATTTTTATGGAGTTGTAAGCTTTTTTATGCGAAAACAGCATGCTTTATAAATTACATCAATTTATGCCTGTCTTTTTTGGTTATAGCATTCGATTCAATTGTTGTTGCTCTTGAGATCTGCGAAAATCTTGAAGTTGGCATCATTATTGTTTGAATTAGGTTTGATCGGATTGTCATTTGATGCTTTAGCCCTAGAATTCACTGGAAGCGTGTTTTGGATCTAAATCGGAGGGGAGAATGGAGCCCGAGGTGGTTAAGACGGAGCGTCGAGGAAGAAAGAGGAAAAGGAAGGACGGACAAGGTGCAGATAAAACAGCAAAGAAAACAGCGGTTGAGACGAGGTCTAAAGTGTTTGTTGGGAGGTATGTGAAGAAGGAGTTTGATGGGAATGGTGTTTTTCTTGGGAAGATTGTTTCCTACGATACTGGTTTATACAGGGTTGATTATGAAGATGGGGATTGCGAGGATTTGGAGAGTGGTGAAGTGAAAGCGTTTATTATTGGAGACAAGGATATGGATGATGATTTTCATAGGAGGAAGAAGGCTCTAGATGAATACATATTGAAGAAATATGCTAAAGATGAGGTTGTTCGCTTGGATGGTGCTGCTAATAAGGTTGAAGCAGTGAGAAGCGATGGTGGTCGGGTAGGCAACAATATTGAATTAGCCAATGCTTTTAAGGTTGAAACTGTGAGGAGTGATGGTGGTGGGGTAGGCAACGGTGTTGAATTAGCCAATGCCGATAAGGTTGAAAGTTCAATTCGTGGTGGTGCATTTGAACTTAGTGGAGCTCAACCTGAGGTTGACAGTGAATCATCCAGTGATGTCAGTGATTATGAGCAGTCTGGTGATCCGGTTGAAGTTGAACGCCCTCCCGTCCCACCACCACCACAGTTGCCGCCTTCTTCAGGAAATTTTGGGGTCTCTGAGGAGCATGTGTCATACCTTCTATCCGTGTATAGTTTCTTGCGTTCATTTAGTGTTTGCTTGTTCTTAAGTCCTTTTGGACTGGATGAGTTTGTTGGTGCTCTTAATTGTTCCACCCCTAATGCACTATTGGATGCCATTCATGTTGCTCTTCTGCGTGCGTTGAAGAGTCATGTGGAAATCCTATCGTCGGAAGGCTCAGAGCTTGCATCAAAATGCCTCAGGTATTTATTTACACCATTCTTTGTTTGTTCACTTAGCGTCTGTGGTCTGTAACATGTGGTTTTAACTACATGTCAAACATAGATTTTGATGTTTGGAAAGTTCAATTCGAGAATCATAAGAGAGAATTCTTTTTACTGGTTAACTCATTTAAGTGCCTTGTACTGGTTATGCCTAGAGCAATTGGAGATCTTTAACATTATGTAACTGTAGAGCATGTAAAGTTGATTGTAGGAAGTTCAAAGCAAAAAAAAGAAAAGAAAACACACATAACTTATAAAAATAAACCAAGTATCTTCACTTGAAGGATTATTAATGGTACAACGACATCATGAACACTATTACATTAAAGATCACATTTTTTCGGCCTAACTTCTACTGAAAAGGAAGTCCCACATTAATTATTCCATAGATGCTGGCTCTCCGCTATCACAGATATTAATAAATTTCTTCTTTTGCTCAGAAGCATGGATTGGAGCTTGCTTGATTCATTAACCTGGCCAGTGTTTATACTCCAGTATCTAATGACTATGAGATATGCAGAAGGGCCTGAATGGAAAGCATTCTATGTTAGCGTTCTGGAAAAGGATTACTATACTTTATCTGCAGGCAGGAAGTTAACCATTTTGCAGCTTTTGTGTGATGATGCATTATGTTCAGCGGAACTAAGGGCAGAAATAGACATGCGTGAAGGAATTGAAGTTGGCCCAGATCCTGATGGAGTTCTTGTCTTTGCTGATGAGAGTATCCCTAGAAGAGTCCAACCGAGCTCTTCTAATCGAGAAGCCGTAAAAGATATTGCTGAAAGTCATATGAAAACACTGCCTTCTACTGCAAATTCTTTTGCTGCAAAAGCTACTGGATTATATACTGGTATTGATGTTGATGAGGATGGGAATGTTGATGAATGCCGGCTCTGTGGCATGGATGGGACTTTACTTTGCTGTGATGGATGCCCATCAGCGTATCATACCAGATGTATAGGAGTAAACAAAATGTGTATTCCTGAAGGGGCATGGTATTGTCCGGAGTGTGCAGCTAACAGAACTGGGCCAAATGTTACCAGGGTAACGACTCTTAGAGGAGCTGAGTTTTTTGGCATTGATCCTTATGAGCAAGTTTTCTTGGGCTCTTGCGACCATCTATTGGTGTATGTTCCAAATCCTCAAATATTTCTTATTGAATGTGATTTTATGTAGGATTGGTATCTCATGTACTTATATTTCCCAATTTCCCCAATTTGTGAATGTGACTTTACGAATCTCTGGGTCGGGGTAGAACTAAAACGGCTTTGGTGCATTTGGTTGAAATCATATATATAGGGTAACTTCTATATGAAGAACTACTATAAAATCTGAATGAGATATAAAACAAGATCCCTCCATTAAAAGAAATAAATAGGATGCCTGATTCCACCCCTTGGATTATTTTTCTTACTTATTTCTCATTCTGTGGAGTTGCTTTTATGATGCTTTTGTAATTAATGAATGCAGGATGAAAGCCTCGAAAAGTTCGGAACTACATATCCGATACTATTCTCCAGTTGATATTCAAAAGGTCTTGCATACACTTACATGTTCTGCTGAGTATAGGACTTTATACTTGGGGATATGCAACAGTATTATGCGATATTGGGAAATTCCTGAGCATATTTCATCTCTTGCCGACTCATTTGGAACAGATAAATTTCTCCCAAACAAAATGGTTGATGGTGAGTATTCAATTCCCTCTACTTTGTTGGCTAAGGAAAGTAGCAATGTACAGGATGTAATTGATACCGGAAATGGTAATGGTGTTGCTGAATATAACTCAAAGGATGTGATAGCTGCATGGCGGGAGGAAAATTGTAAAGAGCCAGGGTTTGGTAAAGCAACTTTGGATGAACAGGTGGTAGAAGGTAGTACCCAGCTTGGCAACTACACTAATTCTGTAGGTGCTAACACTGAAACTCTCTGGTCCACTTGTTCAGCTAGCTTGCAGCCTTTTTCCTCTGAACTAAACCAGCCGTGTTCAAGTGGCAAGTTGAGTATGAAGAATTCTGCTACATGTATCTCTGAAAATGGCAATTGCAATACCAGAAGTGATATGAATAGTGTCTGCGATGTGTCAAATATGTCCTCTCATAGCAATGGAACTAATTTACTGTCTGGTGGGCGAGGTCATGGAATTTCTGCTGATGGGTGCTTGTACATGGGTTCATCTTTCAAGCCGCAGGTGTATGTAAATGTCTACATCCATGGTGACTTTGCTGCGTCAGCTGCTGCTAGTTTAGCTATTTTATCCTCAGAAGAAAAGTTTCCATCTCAACCTCAACCTTCAAGCAGCCACAGGAAATTTATGTCTGCTAATTACTCACTTCAAACAAAAGCATTTTCACTTGCTGCTAAACGCTTTTATTGGCCAAATTATGAAAAGAAACTTGTTGAAGTCCCAAGGGAAAGATGTGGTTGGTGTCTTTCTTGCAAAGCTTCAGTTAGTAGCAGAAAAGGGTGCTTGCTGAATGCAGCTGCCTCAAATGCCATCAAAGCCGCTGCAAAGATACTTGCCTCCCTGCGCCAGTCAAAAACTATGGAGGGCAGTCTTGCTTCTATTGCAACTTATGTTATGTACATGGAAGAGAGTTTGCGTGGTCTAACAGTTGGGCCTTTCCTAAATGCAAGTTATAGAAATCAGTGGCATAAACAAGTAGAGGAAGCTGCAACTTTGGGTGAAATAAAGGCCTCCTTGCTTGAAGTGAGTATTTTATCTCTATTGTCTTTCATTTACAATGGCTGTTCTAGTACTAAATGAAGTGGTTATTTTTCTTCTTAAAGATTTTAGTCATAATGTGATAGCTTAATTTGAAGGGTAAGAAGGTGGCAAATTTACCATCTTTCCATATTCTACTCTAATGTGGTATTTTTCTTATTCTAATAAGGTTTCTTAACAAGTCTTGAGACCGTTAAATTCTTGATTTATAAATGTCCGCAAGTACTTAAATCTTTCTTTGGCCCACACCTAGCCCATACTCTTATTTGTATAGCCTTCGCTCCTTTAACAGAAAAACATCCTTTATAGAAAGTGCAAGTTTATCAGGATTCAGGAGAGAAATGTTTAAGTGGCCTTTATTTACTAAAGGAGAAAAAAAGCTAAAATGGGTACCACCTGCACAACTACTGGGTTCATAGGCACGTATAAATTTATTTTATAGAAAGTGCAAGTTTATTGGGATTCAGTAGAGAAATGCTCAAGTGGTGTTTGTTTACTAAAGGAGGAAAAGCTAAAAAGAGTACTGCCTGCAGACCTACTGGGCTTCAGTGGCACGTAAGTGGTGAATTAGGTTGAAAGTCAAAAGTTGCCAAAAGTGTGGCAGGCTCTTGAAACTAATTAATTTGAGCAATTGCTGGGATTCAAAAAGAGAGAGGGATGGAATAATCCAGGACATTTGGTTGTTGTAGGTGACGGTTGGAGAGTTATTATCCTGCTCTCTCTGAAGGAGTCACACAATGGAAATAAATTATCAAGCTGAGAAGCTTTTAGTTAATTGCATTTGTTGTAATCTGTTTCATCCTCTAAGTGGCTTTCCTTGCCCTCTAATGTATGTGGTTTAGCAAGCAAACTAGTCAACGGCAATTATTCAGAGGAGAATCTAGGGAAAAGCTCTTCACTTGTAGTAAAAGAAATTATTTTCATTTCTGCATCTCTTTTCGTTGGGAAATCAACACTTCTTTCTACCACTCTTCCTGTTAGGTCATTTTAACTGTGGAAGCTTTTTGTGAGAAGTCGGTTGAAAAATTAGTATGAAACATATTAATTTCTTGAAATTATTCTAGAAAAATAATTCACATTATCAATTTTTTAGAAGCTACCCTGGTAATGATCAGGCCTATCTATGACTTCTAGTATATGGAAATATCTTTCCTAGTAGAGGGGATCCTTTTATGTGATATTATTTAATTTGGAAGATAGTTATCTTAAGATTTTATGAAATTGCAAAATTGCTGGGTGTCGTCATTATATTTTTCCAAAATTGGGATGCTAGATTGGTAATGACACTTGGAAATCGTTTTTATTCCCTTGCATTTAAACAACTTGACAACCTAGTCATAGTTTGTCCTTGAACCTGTCAAACACATTTTCTGTAGCAAATGCGTGATGGCAAAGGTCTGGTTATGTTATTATTTTTCTCCGTTTCCCATCTCTACTTTGACTTTTGAGGGTCTCACTTCCCTTTTATTTTGGCATCATGGAAACGGGATACCCGAGATGATAACTGAGGAGCTGAAAGAAATGGCTGAAACAAACGAAACTTAGACCTCTCTATTCTTGATCTTGCCTCTGTTTATAATGAAGCCTCTATCTCTCCGCCTCTCCTATTTTCCAGTTGCATAGGGTTTGCTGGTGGGAAGGAAGGTAGGTTTTGTAATAAAACTCTCTTTTTTGTTTTTCCCTCCCTCTCCAGCCTTTGTTTTTTTTTTTTCAAGTATTGATTCTATTCCACAAAATTTCGAATTTTTCTGAAGTGTAGCTTCCTTTTCTTTGCATTCTTCAGATATACATAACCGTTTAATCTGTATTGGAACCTTTAAAATAATGATATACCCTCGTTTTGTCCGTCTAGCTGATAGCTGTAATTGGTTTGATCCCTTTTCAAGTTGGAATTCTGCCAGAGTGAGTAGACTCAGACAAGCTCTATTACACAATCTGCCATCCTTTGAGATAGTTTTAGTTACAAAACCTACCTTTCGTGCCACCAACAGGCTCTATTATACACTCCACCATCCTTATGCACTTTCCGGATATACATAATCATTTAATCCTTATCTAAAATTTGAAAATATTGGGTTCTTCTGAATGCATTCCGTACCCTTAGCATTTCATATTGGTTCAAGAAGTTTTTAATTTCTTGAAGTTGACATGTCTCAACAGAGGATGCTATGCATATGAATTCATAGAGCACTATTGCTCTTTTATTATAGAGCGAGTATTAAGGGGGAGGATGGTAGATTCTGTAATATGGACCTAAAGACAAATGTACTTTTTGCAAAGTATATACAATTGTCAGGTTTTTGATTTTGTTTTATTTTAGAATGTATCCAAATCTAAACCTAGTTGTCTTTTGAAATAAGTGGAAGCCAATAAATTATAAAAGATGTTGCTGAATGAGAATGGAGGTTGCATTCAGCTTATTATTATTATTATTATTTTACATTTATGTCCTGTGCCCATTTTGATACAATCTTATTGTTTGTATGTAGTTTGAGAGGAACATTCGCGACATTGCTTTTTCAGCGGATTGGATTAGGCTTGTAGATGATATGGGATTTGAAAATCAAGTCGCCCAAAATGCTAAAAATGCGGCAGCATCAACTCAAAGACGTGGACCGGGTAGGCGTGGTCGGAAACCAGCTATAATACTTGAAGTCACTGATGCTGATGGGAAGGATTTATCAACCAACTTTGCTTGGTGGCGAGGTGGTATGCTTTCTAAGCATATATTCCAGAAAGGGATATTACCACAGAGGATGATCAAGAATGCTGCTCGACATGGTAAACTGCAATCACCTAGATACATCTTCTAGCATCTCTCTTAATACTTGGCCATATACAATCTGTTGCCACTTGCTTGGTGTAACCTTATTGTTGTTGTTGTTTGTCATTGTTGAAATGGTTAAGAGAACGTTTAATTGATTTCTTTCACCTGTCTAATCAGGTGGTTGTGGAAAAATAAATGGTGTGCAATATGTTGACGGTGTTGAGGTTCCTAAAAGAAGCAGGCAGTTCCTCTGGCGAGCTGCAGTAGAAATGAGCAAGACTGCATCACAGCTTGCTCTTCAGGTAAACCTTTTCCTAGAAGCTGCTTGCTGGGAACATATTGAACTTTTTCTTGGAGGGTGTCCCTGGTTATGCCCTAGAACTTCCTGTTGTGACTGCAAGACATCAGCACTGATAAACTCAGTGGCCACAATTGTTGTGGACGCCTGGAATTGAGCCAGGGAAGATGGGATATTCCACCACCCTGAGCCTCAACCACTACGCCACAACCCTTGTGGTTAACATACTGAACTTCCTGTTGAAGTTTGAACCTTTTGATGCTTGTTGTTAACCATTTTCTCCCTTGCAACAGGTCAGATACCTAGACCTTCATGTGAGATGGAATGAGCTTGTTCGTCCTGAGCAGCCTCTTCAGGATGGAAAAGGTCCAGAGACAGAGGCTTCTGCTTTTAGGAATGCTTGCATTGTTGATAAGAAGGTTTTGGGAAATAAGATCAGCTACGGTGTCGTTTTTGAGAATCAAAAGCATCTTCCTTCCCGTGTTCTGAAGAATATATTGGAAGAGGAGAAAACTGGAGATGGTAAGGACAAATACTGGTTTATGGAGACGCGTATTCCTTTATATCTGATCAAAGAGTATGAGAAGGAAGTGGTGGAAGTGGTTTTGACAACTGCTGATAAACATGCGAGCACATTATCGAATTTGCACAAAAAGCAGTTAAAGGCTTCTGGAAAAAATATCTTTTCTTTTCTATCGCAGAAGAATAATAATATGGGGAAATGCCTCTGTACTTTGTGTCAACTTGATGTTCCCTTTAGGTAATGTATTATCTTCATTGTTCGTATTCTTTTTGGCCTTTGTTCTGCTGCCACCACCTTATATAGTTCTCTATTATTGTCTTCAGGTATGCTGCAAGGTGCAGTGCTTGTCAAGGTATGTTACTGACCACTTGTCCTTTCTTTGATAATCTGCACAACCACTTCTATAGTGTTGTCTAAATTCTCTTGGATACATTGTGAAAATCCTCAAATAACTGCTACCACACATAATATCATTGTGAAAACCCCAGTTCTTTTTCGAATTTGAGACAGTGCTTAAGAAGGCTGTATTGAACCAGGAAGAATGGGTACCCTATCCTGGTTATGATTTTGGAAAGAATGAGATTTTGATGAAAGAAATTAGAGGTCAACCGTGCATCAAATATTCTAGTAGTCTTGCTTTGCATTCCTTTTAGATTGTACATGTAGCTTTTATTCATATACCTTCTTGATATTTGGATTGGACAAAGAACTTTCTGGCAGATTTTATTTTTGTAGAAAGAGGGTGACACCTCTCCCATTTCCTGTCAGATTTTAGGATTGGAAATATTGCATTTTAGTAAGGTTTCAGTGGCGGGTTTATGGTGTTTGTGACATGCCTCTTTTGAAATGTTGGTTTATGGTTGTAACCATTTGGTGAAACCTTGAAGAGGGTTAATTTTTGATGCATCATCAAAGCATTTGGTTAAGATCAGTAGTTTCTGTGCCTACCTTTTCAGGTTATTGTCATGCCCAGTGTGCGGTTCGTGCAAATATTCATATGGGAGAACATGTTGAGTTCATAATCACTTGTAAACGGTGTTACAGTGAAAAGGTTGTCACACCTCAAAATGAAATTGTTGGCGATTCTCCTACTAGTCCTTTGCTCATGCAAGGGCCAGAAAGCCAACATCCAGCAACAGTCATCAAAGGGGGAAAGCAAAATGGTTATGGAAGGCCGTTAGAATACTTGAATCAATCATCTGAGAAGAATTCTACAACCAGTAATCGGAAAACCAATAGAAGTGGAAAGCAAAATGGTAAAAGGCGTCTATCAGAATCTGTTGACCAATCATCCGAGAAGAAGAATGGTTTAAGGCCTCCACTAGAATCATCTGAGAAGCCGAATGGCATACGGCCTCCATTAGAATCATCTGAGAATAAGCTAACAACTAATGATTCTAATGTGGGGAAGAAAAAAAGCAAAACCAAGTTATCGTGGGGCTTGATATGGAAGACGAAGGACCCAGAGGAAACAGGAATCGACTTCAGGTTAAAGAACTTGCTTTTGAAGGGCAATCCGAATGGGAATCTGTTGGCACCTGTGTGCCACCTCTGTACGAAGCCATATAACTCAGATTTGATGTATATTCGATGTACGAACTGCGATAGTAAGTCTCTTGATCGTTTGACTTCATCTATTTAATGATCTGTAAAGTATAATTACTAATGGATTGAGCTTATGTTCACTTGCAGGATGGTATCATGCTGAAGCAGTTGAGTTGAAGGAGTCAAAAATTATGGAGTTGCTGGGGTTCAAATGTTGTCGGTGTCGCAGGATACGTATACCTCTCTGTCCTTATATGGATCCTGAAACCAGAAGGAAATTGGAGGCAAAGAAGAAACCCCAGTTCAAGAAGAAAAAGCCGAAAAATTCAGAACCAGTTTCCAACTGTGAAACCAACAGTGAACAAGTGAATGAATTGGAACCTGATGCTAATTCAGCCTTTGACACAGAGGAGGCTATAAATGTTGAAGAGGACGATCCTCTGTATTCTTCCCCGACGATTGAGCCAGTCAATGACCGACATTTTGAAGTGTCTAGTCCTGGTCCTGGTCCTGGGTCTGTGCCGAAGAAGCTACAGGTCAGGAGGCAGATAAAGTCTGAGAAGGAATCAGATGGATGTTCAGCAAATTTTGAACCGCCAACAGGAAACAACCCGAACCCTGGAGTGGAATCATCATCTCCTGTAGTGGAATGGGACGTTTCTACAAATGGATTTGAAGATGACATGATGTTTGACTACGAGGATCTTAACTACGAGGACATGGAATTCGAACCACAGACGTATTTCTCGTTCAACGAGTTGCTTGCATCCGACAGTAACGATCCACCAGCAGACACGACTGGGGATTCGGTTGCAGCAGAGGAGGATTGTAACCACCCTGAACAGTACCAAATGGGAATAACATACGATGAACAAGAGCCAATGTTCTCTGTGGATTCCGCTTGTAACGTGTGTTCACTAACCGAACCATGCCCAGATTTATACTGTGAAACCTGTGGTCTATGGATTCACCAACATTGCTCACCATGGGATGATGAACCACCATCTTTGGAGACAGATGGTGCCTGGAAATGTGGCCATTGTAGAGAATGGCGATAGTAATGTGTATGGTTGATTGATTGATTAGATGGAATGGAATGGAATGGGGGAATGGCTGGAATCAGTATTGGTTTGGAGTTGGAAAAGAAAGAATTTGGTTGATATATACTTGTTTCTGTGTTGTGGTTATTTGGTTTTGTGGTGGGGGAGTTTTATACCATTTTGATAAGCACAGGTTTTTATTGCTTATCGTATTCTTCATGGGTTGGTTTGCTCTGTAAGTTAATGAGCTTAAACCTGATTATTTATTTGGTCGTATGAAATTTTGGTAGACTTCATTTCAAACTAGAAAAAAAGGGACATTTTTGCACTTTGTGTTTTCTTCCAAGTTTTGGTTGTTCAGAAAATGATGTTTTTCTCTTATGCGTAAAACAAATTGGTGGCACTTCGTTTTTTGGTTGTTGATTAATTAATAATTTACCTTACCGGGTAAGATTCTAGTACATCAAAACGGCATAGTATGTAACAACTTATCCGGTAAGCACTAACCGCCTAAGTGTCGTCACCGTCACTTATTGGGTAAGATTCTTGGTCCTTGCCATGTATATTCGATAAAATAAGTGACCTAGTAAGTGTTTAAACAACCCCCAAGTTGAAATGGGTGCGGGAAAATACAACCACCTGCTTGGACGAGCTACACCGAATCACCAAATGACAACAGAAGATCTGCAAAATACAACTCCAATTCCACCAAAAATATAGATTTCATTTTCTACAAACTTCAGAAATGTGCACAAGAAGACTCACTATCTGCATAGCAGAAACACATAAGCTACAATGTAGGGCACTTGCATCTTTCGCTGTACCAGACTTTTACCAAATTATGAACTCCAAGACTGTAGACAAAAGGGGGACCAGAAAGCAAACTGCGGTTCCAACTTTAAACAAAAATGGTGATCAGTGTTATAGTCCCACATTGGCTAGACTTGGACACTTTCTATTCAATATACATTGGAACCTCCCTTTTTTCTTTAAGGGCTTATGGAGAGTAAATTAACGGGGTTCCACAAGTCAAATGGTATTAGAACCAATGTGTACCATCTGGGATGTCTTTTGGATGAGCGTGCTAGAATCCCATATCGGTTAGACTTGGACACTTTCTCTTCGATATATATTGGAACCCCCTTCTCTCCCCAAGGGCTGCAAGCCAGCTAGCAGTAGTACAGTAAGCCAGTCTTATTCATGGTTGATTAGAATTCGCTTGAACCCTTGAAAGAAATCTCAATCATCACTCAAATAGGTCGAAAGCCCTCCAAATACAAGAACCATCTTGCATGTCCCAACTCCATGCTTGCCCCACGGAGTCACTTTGGGTGCACTTGGTAAGCGGGACAGTACAGTATAGGATAAAACAAAAACGTGTTGTCTCATGTTTTATGCAACACTACACTAGGACTAGACAGGACTGAGTGGAACGAAAATGCATTTTTTTTGTCCCACGAAAATAGATGGAACAAAAATCAGGGAGATTGACATGACAAGCTTGGCAAATTACTAAAGTACCCATGTCGAATTAATACCCCTAAAACCTTCCACCATTCTTTCACCCCCTCACTCTCCCCCGTCTAGTCCTGTTTAGTGTTGTCAGCGTACCAAATGCACCGTGTGTGTGTTTAAGAGAGAGACAGAGAGCCAGAGGGGAAAGAAAAATCTCTTACTATTCAAATAAACAAACTTATATGATTTTTGGGGACTGAACAGGTATAAGCTATACATATATATATATATATATGTATGTAATTTAGTATTACAGTTTCATCGCACACCTGTGTTATATACTTCAACTGAAGCTGCAACAGTTGACAAAGAATGTGCAGGAGACGGGGAAAATCCATAACAGATGTCCACATCCATCATATCTAAACATCCAGGATGGATTTTCTGGTGTCGTCAACCATTGAAATCGCGGTTTCAAGTAAAACAATATCTCCCCTTCTTGGGTTCTTCAACTTTCTTCCATTTGTCTACTTTATTACACTGAAAGAAACTTCAACGATGTTTGGAATGATGGGAGGCTCGTGGCTGGTCCGTTGACCCCCTTGGGGTAGCGGGCCCCGTGCTTTCCACAACGTCTTCCTGAACATTTGATGACCGAGGAAGGAGTTTGCAGTTTCCAAACGTTCTTGAAAGAAACCACGGAGATTCAAGAGAGTTATGTGTTCTACTTACCCTTTTCATTTCTTGCCTCATTCTATTGAACTCTTCTTCAAGTTCTCCAACTCTAGACCTCAATCTTTCCATGCTCACTCTCATTACTTGGTTTTCACGCACGATGGTCACCCAGCCATCTCTCTGTACAATTTGGCCAGCCATTGCGGTGCTGCCACTTAGCACAATATTCATTGGACCAGTTGAGGGATTCTCGTTATCCAACACATTAACGCAGCCAGCTAGAGCGGTTCTCAGCTGCATCTGCTCAAAAAACAGCACTTGGAGGACAACTCTAAGTGGGAGGTGCTGGTTTTGAGAAGCATGAGCACAAGCATCAATGGAAAGCTTCTGATAGTTGATGATGTTGCAAAGCTCTTCTTTTTCTTTGTCCGGTAGCCACGGGTGGACCTGCATGATGGAATTTCATTTCATTAAGCTTTTTGTTGAGTGTTATAAGGGGTTGTTTGATTTTTTTTCTATTAAGCTCTTAAGCCCTGTATCCATTAAGCCATGTATTACCATTAAGCTATCTGGATGAATAAGATAAATCGTTGTTTAATTTGGTCCTGAATAACAAAAAGTTACGATTATAACCTTTGTGTAGATAAGTGCTCAATGAAATATATTTGTTTGATAAATCTTTTGAATGACAAAAAATACGTAAAAATTTATGAATTATTTAAAATAACATAAATTCAACCAGTTCATCACACAATACTTAATAACTTAAAATATACTTAAAACAATGCAACATCATTGTTTGAATAAAATTTTTAATTTATGAATTTGCTAGCAGACTAATTAATTTTTAACGAGACATAGGATTAAAAATTGTATAACAAGGGTAATTTGGAAAAAAGAAAATCCTAGCTTAATCCACAAAGATAGGGTGGGATGGCTGAACAAGTTAAGCCCAACTCTTAGTATTAAGTTAAAACAAAAAACTTTAATATAGCTTAATCAATTAAGCTAAGATCATTAACTTATTAAGTTGAAATTACTCAAAGAGAGAGAAAGAGTTCAAGCAACAGACCTTAAAATATACATCCAACGCTCTATACAGCCCGTCATTCAGAGATCTTGAGGATTCAGGAAGAGCCTCTGCTAACGATCGAATCTTTTCAGGTTTCAAGTTCACATCAGATGCAACCTCTGCCATATAACTGTCTACAAGCTTTGAAACTTTCCTCAATGGTCCAGATGATTGCGACACTTCTGAAGCAATTGATGGTGGAGAAAAAGTAGTAACCGTTTGTTCGGAAGTCAAGAAATGATTGATTATCCTTTCTACACAATCACTGTTATATAAAGTATCAGAATCCGAATAGGTAGGAATCAATAAGCCATCTAATGTAGCAAGCTCCAACTGCATTCCTATCTTCCTTTCAAGCGAGTTTTGACACTTACCATTAACACCCAAAATCAAAGCAACACGTAAAAGTGCCAACAAGAAACGACAGAAAGACTTGCCCTTTTTTTCAGGAAGCAGTTTTACAACGCTTTCCAGTAGAACTCGCTGATCGACAATGGCCGGTTTCATGCTAAAGCTTGCAATTGATCTAGCTTTGGTACTCTGCCCCCCTTGCCATCTGCCTAAGCCATGAAGATACTTTCTAGAATAGTACATAATAGCTCCTGTAAAATGAGGAAAATCCTGGAATAAAGTCAGAAGGGAACAAGTAGTGCATAATTTAAGACAATGTAAGTACGACAAGACAGAACAGCCAAAAACTTGTTTTTCTCACGTTTGGAGCAACAATTATCCTGAGATAGGACAGGACTGAGTCAAGAAAATAGGTGGAAGAAAAATCAGGGAGATGCGACAAGATTGTTAAATTACTAAACTACCCATGTCAAATTAAAACCTTAAAACCTTCCACAATTATTTCACTCGCCTACCTCACTCTCGCCGGTTGTGTCTTGTCCAGTCTTATTCGCATACCAAACCGACTCTAAAGTCTGTTACTATTTTGCAGGGGTCCTACCATTAGGAGTCGTATTATTACGTTAAAAAGAACATTTTTTAGTATATATAGTTCACATGACTTAAGGTGCCATAGTGTAAAAAATGCAAAGTTTCTCCCCTGCAAATGTACCTTTATCCTGTGGTTTTTCAAGAAAAACAAGGGGAGAAAATATAATATAAAAGGGATCATCATGGCACCTGTTAACTTTTCAGGTCGAATGCCCCTAGCTTCCATCGTCTTTATAAGCCTCTCAAACAAAGGCACACCAAGATACGATATATCTTCAAACCACCAATCGGATTCTGAACTTCTGATTCTTGCACCAGTATTGATTCCATTCCATAAAATGCTACCTCCAGGGCTCTGTAAGCGGCCGTACATCATCATTGGCCACCCAAACAAACTGGGATCTGTACAAGCCATCATCGATATAGCTTTCAAGCATTTACTAATTATCTGGAGATTATCCGCTTCTGTCATAACGGTCTCACAACTTTGAAGAGCAACCATGCAATCCTTCCAGTTTTTTAGTACGGTCTTATGGAAGTAATTCTCTGCCCTTCCAAATAAGTTGTCATCTCCATACTCATCAAACATCTCAAGATAGCCTGCCACACAATACACGATAACTATATTCCTTGGTGTAAGTTCCACACGGACACCATAACAGAATTTAGCCGCCACCAAATATGCATTGGCCCCACCAGGAATATTTTCTAGGGTAATGGTGCAAGAACCTTGATCGGTATTTTGAGTTTCTTCAATTAGCTTTTCTATTTTCCCACATCTCGATGATAGGGGAAACTGAAAAAGAAACATGCAGTTAAAGAAATTTGATATTAGTAACTTACATGGGATAAGAAACCATATGCATAGGAAGCAGAAACCCGTGCTATGATTGTAGAAGCACATTTCTAGGAGAGACAAATAGATTTGATAGATTATAGAAAAAGGAGTTTATTTTTTTTTTCATATTTATGTTCTTAGTTATAGAATGGCATAGAGTTTACTTTTGAATATCAGGTGATGATAGTAGCAGTGGTTTTGTGATGAAAACTGTGAGAATATATGTGGAACCTTGTTAGATTATTCTCCAAAAGAGCCCTTTCAGGAGAGAAGGGAGGTCCCAGCATGAGGAGAAATGGTCCAAGTAGCCAACGTGAGACTCCAGCACGCCCCCTCCCACAGAGGCTTGATGGGAATAGATTGTCCCAAAGTACACAGGTACAGATTGCCCAAAGTGTCGAGTCCCTAAGGTGGTAGACCTTTAGCTCTGATACCATATTGTTTTATAAAAATGAGCACACAACACTATATGATAACCTATGGCTTTTAATGAGTTATAACAAATGCAAAGCAATAGCATATTTCTGGAGCTATGTACTTACAGGCTTACAGCTAATGTGAAGAAACATTACCTTGTGAAGATGGAAGTTTACGTTGTCTATAACAATGGTGATATCGCTTGGCAACCCTGCATTACAAAACCTGACACAAACAAACCAAAAATTTTTAGCCAAACCACCTACTCCAATGCTTATGTGCTAGATAGCAATCCCAAGTCCATATACAATTTGACTTCATATGATTGACGAACACCCTCCTCGCTAAAGTGAATTCAAGACCAAAAAAGGACAACCACATTAACTAGTGAAACGAAGGCTACTATCTAGGGGTTTGAGAAGGGATATTCATCTTGATGACCTTCTCCAAAAGCTCGTTTTGCAAATTGACCCTCTAATATATTTCTATGGTTTACTGGAGCATGCTGTTTTAAATCAAATGCAGGTTGTCTTGAACAAGGGGCATGCTGTTTTGAACCAGGAGCAGGTCAAACGAATGTTAATTAAGATAAAAAATTTAGGTCATGATACTAATGAAAAACTCATTTAAGATCATTTATCCAAAGGACCCAGTGGGAGAAGAACTGTCCCTTAAAAGAAGTTCAGCTCATTGACTTTCATCTGACCTGCCCTCTTTAAAACAGTCTTCCTATGGTTCAGCCAGCTACAGTAAAAACTTAGAAATACACCAGAGAATTAGATAATTAAATTCAGTTTTTAAGAAGGGTCATTAAGCTAAATAGCCCCTCTGCATGCATCCATTTCAGATACTATTCAGATAACTCAAATCCATTTGAAACCATGACCTAAAGATTATATCGCTATCTGATGCATCCACCAAATACACTTGCTTTCCTGAATTCTAAAGAATTTACCAAATGTTTTTTCAAGTGTAAATTGAATTCCAATAAACTCATGAGATAGGTATAACATACGGTAATGATCACCAATTGAACCAAAAGCCAGTGTAATAAAAACATTCAGTTATAGAGAGATAGAGCGAGGGGTTACCAGTCATTGGCTTCATTATAGAACCCCAAAGCTTTTCGAGCAGGAGCCATGGCTGATCTTTATTTCCCTGATCCAGAACATCAAAAACCCATCATCTACAATCACTCCAATTTCTTATTCCAAAAACACCACCCATAAAAAGATAGCCGACAAAACTTAAAAGAATCAAGAAACTGAGTCATCAAACCCAGTCGGGTCGGATCATTCTTTGTAGATGACAGAGGAAAAGCAATAATGATGTCTTCTTCTATACAATACAGCTAGTAAGCTTTTTTATGTTTTCTATTTGGGGGGGAGGGGGTTTCCATAAAAAAAAAAAGATCTTTGGAGTGCCATGGGACAACCCCAACATCATTTAATCACACCCACCCCAGCAACCAAAATGGTCCCATTTAATATTTGAAACCAAAGCAAATAAATTAAAGAGAAACTACAGGAATGCTTTCAAGATTCCTGCTTTTGAGTCAACACCCATCTACTACAAAACACAGCCACCGCTACAAGATAAACAGATTCCCACACTCAAAGACGTGTCTTTTAGTATTTGTATGTGGATATTGAGTGGGGTATTTCATTGGTGCTGGCTTTAGAACGAATTTTGAACACAACTGACACTGCTAATGATAAGAGAGAGATGGCCGGCGCGGTGTGTCTTGTGCGAGTGAGGAATTTTGTCGAACACGTTGAGTGCAGTTACCGAAAAGCCTTGGATCCAACGACAATCGTACATTTATTCCTTTAAATAAGTATGTAAATATAAAAAATCCACATAAAAGTTTAATCTTGTTCACTAATTTTTGAAATAATCCAGAGAATAAGTCGATTATTTATATTTAAGGGGCTGTTTGTCAATTGATGAATAGTTTGATGCAGAATGATTAATAGACTATCATGATATAATGCAAAATGAAATATAATTGTTTGATAATTGTGTACAATGAAATTAGGGTTCTTAATGATTAACATAGATCCATTATACAAAATCATTCAGAAGGTTTTGGAACCATTAAGAGGCAGACTTTTTTTTTGTCAAACAAGATTCACCTCTTAACGATTCAGATGTTGCCTCTTAATAAAACTATTAAGAAGTAAACAAACAACCTCTTACATATTTAAACGCTTACCTCTTAATCATCAAAGAAGATGGTTTGGATTCCAATAGAAACACTTTTTTTTCCTTATAAAAAATGGTAATAATAATTTTGGATCGTTAGATCATGTTGAAAATGTGATTAGTTGTGATAAAATACACGGCAACAATCATGTAATAATATACAATATCAACCACTTGGTTGTGACGTTACAGGTGCTATTAAGGGGTCGTTTACCTAATTGTTTACCCGGTAAACACTTATCGATAGGAGTCAACACTATGATTTATTTTGATGCATAAGATTTTAGTACATCAAAACATATCGAGTGCAACAATTTAATGGGTAAACGCTTACCTAGATAAGAATCGTCATCCTCACTTACCGGGTAAGACTCTTTATCATTTTTATCGCTCTTACCGGGTAAGATTTTTGGCATTTCTCATGTTCATCCGATAAGGAAATTTATCCGGTAAGCACTTACTAAGTAAGTGTTTAATAAACGACCCCTAAAACTCTTGTAATCATGGAGTTTCACCAATGATGAATCCAGACTATTTGTGGTCTGTTAAGGTATTTGCAGTGCATGTACTCTTGCCTATAAACCCAAGGTTACACAAAAAAGAAACGATAGGATAAATTACAAATATCGTCCTTGTGGTAACTGAAAATTTTGAAACGAAATAATTACATAACAAGGTCATCATGGTTTCATTTTTGTTATAGATTGGGATATTTGTCTTAATGTCATGGGTTGTTTGTTTACCTCTTAATAGTTTCATTAAGAGGTGAATTTTGTTTGGTAAAAAAAAATGCCATGCCTCTTAATGTTCTAAAACCATCTGAATAATTTTGTATCATAGGTCTCCCTCAACCATTCAACGCCATATGGTCATTGTAAACAATTACCAAATAATTATATTTCATTTTGCAGTATATTATGAGAGCTTCATAATCATTATGACCATTTAATCATTCTGCACCAACCATTCAGCAACTATCAAACAACCCCTTAACTGATACTCCGTTAAATCAAGGGTAATATCGTCTTTGTATAATTTATATACTTTTCTTTTTTATAGTTTTACTTATTATAAATAATATCTATACTATAATATAAAACATTTGACAAAAACTCTTAAAAATCATTTTTTATACATGAAATACTGCTTAATTGTTTATTGATGCATATTACTTAAAATTCAACCAAGTAAATTATGCATAAGTACAACTTATGATTACAAGTAGATGGCGAAACGAAGGAGCTCTTTGTTTATCTCTTAATAATTTATTAAGATGCAGAATCTTAATCGCTAAGAGGTGAATCTTGTTTGATGAAAAAATAAAGTCTACCTCTCAATGGTTCTAAAACCCTCCGAATGATTTTGTATTTTTGGCTTCCCTTAACCATTCAGCGTCCTAATTTCATTTTAAACAATTACCAAACAATTATATTTCATTTTGCACTATATCATAAAGACTCTTAATCATTCTGACCACTTAATCATTATGCACTAAATCATATAACAACTGTCAAACAGTCTGAAGTCAATTTTGAGCCAAATTAGTGTTAAAGTGAAAACATTCTTTTTTTAATATATTTAGAATTGATAAATTAATAAAATATAATAATATTTTGTTTGTAAAAATAATGTTACCATTTCCCATTAGTAATTCCACTTCGACATCCGGAGAGGTCCACTTTTGTTCCAACTGAGAAATCACCCTATATACATAAACAGGGGCCTAATTAAATGAAAATTAATTAGTTTGTAGTAATCGTAAGGTCCAATCTCAATTACAAATTAATAGATAAATTAAGAAATTTATAATTTTGGTAATTTTGAATTAAAATTTTAATGCAAGAACATTTTAGATATTTTAAAACTCTCCTCTCTCCTATCTTCTCTCTTCGTCCCCCGGCCACTGTCCTCCGGTGAAACCACAATGGTATCACAATACATCATATATGTGCTTAGGTATCACACTGAGGTCGTTTGTGTGGTCGATCGGAGATGTAACACGGTGGTATCACAATGCTTCTTATATATATGCTTAGGTATCACACTGTGTATTTTGTTTAACAAAGTCAATATTTTTCGGTATCACAGTGGTATCACCAAAGGACGGTGGTCAGTGGCCGGAGGATGGAGGAAGGAGAGGAGAGAGGAGAGAAAACACCTAAAATGTCCTTGCATTAAAATGTTAATTTAAAATTATAAATTTCCTAATTTATCTATTGATTTGTGGTTGAGATTGGATCTCACGGTTACCACAAACTAATCAGTTCTTCTTTGAATGAATCCCGACATAAACAATATACTTGTCGAATTTGACCTTATTCCCACCAGCCAACACGTATGTACAAGTCTTAAACCAACGAGCAATGGCCACATGTTACACGATTGCCATTTCGACCTCTAATTATTAACGGAGGTATTACTCATTGACAAGAAAGATTCAAACTCTTGTAACTTTAATTCTAGATGATAAAAAAAATTTAAAATCATCAAAGAAAGTCAAGATTTCATGATTTTAGGTCAAGAAATGAGTGGGTCCAATGCAATTGAAATGAGGACCCAATTGAATGTGCCTACTTAGCTTCCATCAATACTTGCATTCATCTCCATGTGTAGAAAGGAATATTGAAATGTTAAAAAGTGATGGTGTTTGCTACCATTTTTAAGGTAGGTGTTGAAGTAATTCAAACCATTAATTAATTTGCATAAATGTGTTATGTTCAATCATTCATCAATCCAAATTGATATTCTATGAATCATGTTTATGTTATTATAATATTTTTATTTTAGAGTGAAGATTGGGGTTCGTTTTAGGATCGGTAAAAAATTTACTTATTGGGTAAGATTTTAGTCCATCGAAACGATATCGAATGCAACAAATTACTCGGTAAGCGCTTACCGTGGTAAGAGTCGTCGCTCTCACTTACCAGATAAGGCTTTTGGTCATTGTCTTATTTTTACCGGGTAAAATTTTTGGTTCTTACCATATTTATCCGGAGAGATAGGTAAGCGCTTACCCAGATTAAGGAAATTTGTGCTTCTTACGTCATAGTAGAGGAGAAGGTAAGATTATCAACGAGGTTGGTCCTCTTAAATTTAATTATTAAAATATATAAATGTACAAAGAGAGAGAGAGAGATGGTTTTAAATAAAACGCACGACATTTGTACAACCAATGCAATCCAATAAATTGAGATATTTATGGAAATGATGAGAGTTCATTTATTATGATTTAAATATTTATGGAAGATGAATATGGTTCATTAATTATAATCAATACTTTATATTAGGATACAGTCAAAACTTCTATGAAATCACATATTAATCAAATGAAATGAACGGTTGAGATTATGTTGTATTTGTTGCATAAATGTCAAGGGTTGTATAATAACCAACATTTCTCTCTCTCTCTCTCTCTCTCTCTCTCTATATATATATATATATATATATATATGCCTTGTCAAATGAGAACTGTTTTATTTGTGGTAACCGTGAGATCCAATATCAACATCAAATCAAAAGTTAAATTATGAAATTAATAATTTTGGTAATTTTAACTTAAAATACTAATTAAGGGCATTTTCGGGATTTTATAGAAATCCTCTCTCATCTCTCATATTTTCTCTCTCCGACGAATCTTATTCGGCGAACCTTATTCCGATAAACCTTATGTGAACACAAGATATACATTGTGATACTCAGATATACATACAAGATGCACAATGTAATACCCTTTGTAAAGCAACGAAAATAACGAAAATACACACTATGATACATGTTATAAAACAAAAAAAAATACATTATGATACACGTGAAACATGTGACTGTTATCACTTTGATACATTTTGATTCACAAACATCTTTAAAATACGATGTATATTAGGTAACTAATTTTAATTAAATATTTTTTTCTAAAAAAAACTTAAATTGACATTTTTAAGAGATACAAATGGAACGAAATCATAAATGATCCGCTTGCCCCGAAATGACTTGGACCAATAAGGAAATCATTTAATTAATTATTTTGATTAGTTGTCAAAAATAAAATTACTATATTACTCTTTTAGCTTATTTAAAAAATATCCTTAAATACCTCAAACGAGTAGTTCACATTGAATCTCACGGTTATCACAAACTAATCAGTTCTCCCTTGAATAGGTGAGACTTTCTGTGAGGAGTTAGATTTGGCCTATGAAGAAGCACTTGTTTTTACAAAAGTTGAGAGTGAGCATGGGCTCACCCTGGTCCAAGGGTGGCTCCGCCTATAGTCAATAGAGTAATTTTCTGAATTCTTTTAAGAGTTGTAGAATATTTACTAAATTTTAATTAGACAGTCTAATGTAATAGTTGATATATAAATATTATTTTAATTAAATTGTTGCCATTCCCTCGTCCCATATCCGTTATGTATATTGGTAATGCTCTTTAAAATTGAAATGATTGTTATTTGGATGTGGAATTAAACATATAATATATCTGTTGTTATGGAAAAAGAATCTTGGTTTACTGATTTGAATCAAAAAAATTGATAGAAATCTTGAAGTGCAATCTTCTCAACCATAAGAGATTCTTTGTTTTGATATTTCTTCATTATTTGTAACGACACTTTCATCATCAATAACCAGATTTGATCAGTTATAATGGGTTATTTTATTTTGTAAAGTTGTCTTCGATTCGGTATTTAGTTTACTTTCTCAATTTGACGTATTTATTTCACTATTTTAGAAAAATGCACAATACATTGACAGACAATTTGGATACCAATATTCATCCCCGTTTGATTCATCACATGACGTTATGTTTGTTTTTGCTTTTGGATATCGGTAGATAAATTCAAATAAACAAAAACTCCCAACTCATGCTTTACTCTCTCCAAGGGATAAAAGTATGTCGTCTCTACTAATCGTTTGAATACGTTATGGATTTTTCTAATTGTTCTATAGGGTCCGGTTGAGTGAAACGCCCAAGCCAGGGGCAATTTTAGTATGTGAAAGGTCTGGGAATGGACCTCGAAACCTATTTTTCCTCTTTTACCCAGGTCAAAAACAATTTCTTTAACTTTCTACCATAGCCCCTTGAGTAATTTCCCACCTGTGCCCCTACCAACCAAAAAAAATCTTCAAAAATCAACTAAAAAATCGAAAAAGTTCATCAGAATCAACAAAAAGAACTTTCAAAATCCCTCGAAACAGAGAAAATATAACACATAGGACAAGTTTGTGGGCCTTTAATCCACTTTAAAAGCGATCATACTAGACAAAAATCATGGATTTGCCACTGCCCCAAACATCTAAAGATTACAAAAGGAACTTGGTTGAGTACTAACAAGTAGGATGCAATTTTGTACGAGATCAAACCAACCAACTATATCAATTAAGTTGGTATCGATTCAATTGGTAACAATTACAGTCGGTTGGTAGTAATGTACCAAGTATACAAATTTCGTTGGTACATGGTATTTGGAAATCACGTACCACAGCACCAACCTTTATAAGTAGTTAATAAGTTCACATGTTTTACCTGAAAACTTAAAATTAAAACAAAATACAAATTTTCATATATATAACTTTTAAGTTGTACAAAATCAGTAACAACCAGATATTGCAGGAAAAAGAACTTTGATATCATATCAAGCCCATCCCTTGAGAAGGTAATAATATATGAGAAAACACATACATCCCATTCCCAGCTGTAACAAAACAAACAATAAAAAAATAAATTATAACACAAGGTCTGGTCCATACCATGAGACCCAACAAAAGAATAAATACGAAAACCAAAACCAACATCTCCTCCTTAGCACATTGCCAGGAAAAAGTACCCAATTCTTTTGGTGTTATACAGAATTATACAGCCACAGTTCCCCCTTACTGCTACAACTTGCTACACATTTTAGAGGTCCCAAAGTTTCCCATTACCAAACCATTCAGAACAACTCTATTTTTGGACATTGAAAGAAAACAAAAACAACCACCCCCTTCCTTTCTTTCCTTTTTCAATTGGCTACTGCTTTTGCAATTGATTGCTTCACTGCTTCTGCGTATGTCCTGTGTTGGTACGTAAGGGTCGATTCCAGCAAGTCCCATAACGATGTCTTCGGATCCCAACCTGCCATTCCATTCCATTCCATCAAACAACCAACCAAAAACATAATAGACAGAATAATCCCAAGCCTTGTAATTAAGAATTGTACCTAATTGTTTGTTTATTATGGTCATGTCCGGAATTCTCTTGTCACTGTCATCGTAACCTTCACCATAAAATTCTTTCGAACTTACATCAATGGTTGGGCTCTCTATTGAATCTTCTCCGCTTACTTTTGCATATACCTGTCATATATGTATATATATACACATTATATACACTCTGTCACCTCATACCTCCTTTTTCAGTTTTTACCAATGAATATAAAAAGTTTACCTTGGTCATCATCTCAGCAAGTTGTCTGACTGTAACTTCATTGTTCGGGTTACCAACATTGAAGATATGACCATTAGCTCTACCAGGGTTTTCCTAATATTATCGATACTCAACAATCAGTTTCACCCTCGATTCAAATATATGTTGAAGGAAGCAAATTAAGGTTGTAGTAACATACTATCATCAAAAGAACAGCTTCAATAGCATCCTTAATATAAACAAAGGTTCTCTGCGATTCACCGCCATCCACAAGCTTCAGAGGCTCACGCCTGAGGAGATTCTGTGGACAACAGAACGTTGTCACTACATAATATTCTAGAAAAATAAGATTAAATTGATAGCTCAAATTCATGAAACCATAAGCAGAATTAAACATACGTTACTAAAGCATGCAAGAACTCTTGGAACACCCTCGCTAGGACCATCGATCCCGGGAATAAAATCCATCCTAGGGCCAATCCAGTTGAAAGGCCTTACTATGGTGAACTCAAGACCATTCTCCGCACCCTCAGCTGCAAAAAAATCAAAGTCAGGAGGGCAAGCCAGTCACCACATAAGCCAAAATCAAATATGCTCAAGGCTTACCATAGATCAGCCTCTCAATCAACTGTTTTGCACATGCATAAGACCACCTCTGCTTCTCAATTGAGCCAAAAATGCAAGGAGATGTATCTTCTTTAAGAATATAATAAGCAGGATCCTGTAAAGGGTTATAAGCCAAGAAAGGAAGACTTGATTAATAATGATGGAAGATCAAAATCACACACACAAATTGGCACTGTAAGTAGAAGTGCCTCAGTAGACACTAGACAGCAGTAAACATCATACAAAAGATCAACTTTTAAGTTTCTTGGAGTGATGAATATCATCTATTGGCTAGCAATAAATCTATCTAAATGCAACCTCGTGAATCTAGTGATCATAAACCCACTTCGGGACCACATGAAATTAAAACCTGGACGGGCCAAACATTACAAACATAACTTGCAAGAAGATAGACGACATAATTTTGTAACAAGTAGAACTTGATTAAGATTCCCATAGGAGCAGGGATGTCATTCTAAACTTCGCCAAGCAAACTTAAATGTGGGAAACATTTAATTCCCCCAACAAAGCAACAGCCCAAATCGTACTTAATTGATCAAAACATCTGAACAAACTTAAATTCAACAGTGTTAAACAGACAGTTTTGAGAGAAAATAAAATTAAGCAACTTCCAGAAAAATAATTCAACTTTGCTGTCAATTTTTATTCACAGCTTTTAGATGCTTCCCAACCAAATCTTAGATCGCTGTGTAGAAAAAGTTTGAGCAAAAAACAGAACTAAAAGAACATAGACTAACATAGAATTTTAGGGGAGCGTGGATATGCTGCACAACTAATTTTTGTGCAATTCTGGTTCTGATTTTCTTTTTTCTTTTTTTGGCCAAAATCATCAGATTTCAGAGTAGCAAATAAGAAGCCGATGTCATGAAATAAATTCTCAAGGGCAGGTGTAATTTTACTCGACCATCCCCTAACTTTGATCAAATGCATTCTAGTGATCTAATAATTCTTGGGTGGGTGACAGTGATCACTTTGAAAATGCTCGACACCCCCTAAATAAAAGGTCCCGGGTAAAAACCACATGCTGCAAAGAACACCTATTAAGTAAACAGTCAACACCCCTCAAATAAGAACGAAATTATTCAGGAATTAAAGTAATTAATGTAGTTATTAAGTAAAAATCTGAATCCTTACCTGTCGCAAAGGGCTATCTTTGGGAAGATAGCTGCCAATGGTTTTCCCATATACTTCACAAGTTGAAAAGTGAATGAGCCGCTTGTTATTCTCTGAACAGTACTTGACCTAAGAGACAGATAACAGAGACGATTTATAAATCACTGGATTGCTTACATTAATTATTAAAAAACAATAGAACGGTTTAGAATATAAGAAATCAAGGTTAAGAAACACATAATACATACCACAGGAAGAGCATCAATGAAATTGCTGTAAATCGTGTCAAGAGGACGCGTATTGTAATCCGCCGGTGTGCAGATCGCGGCTAGATTTACCGTCTAGATATAAACAAACAACCAAAATAAATTAAATAGAACAAAAAAATCAATTGCAGGGATATATACGCGTGATTAAGTACAGTCTCCGTAACTTACTAACCATCATTAGCATATTGTAACGTAATATTCAGTATTTCACACTTCAAGCGTGACACACAAACAAAATATCTTTAACGGAATATTAAGGTAAGCAATATTTTAACATAAAACAGTGTAACAGAATCCCATTTCCCACTCTTAAAAAAAGAGAAATAAGCAACTAAAGATGGAAATGCAGATCCAGAACGACTCACAGCACAAAATACGACTACGGATGGTAAAACAAACACTATAGTACACAAATCTGAGAAATTAATTGGAGATTTTACCAGATCGGAGCACTTGATAAGACCTTCGAGGCGAGAATCGTTCTTAATGTTAAGTCGGTGGAACTGGATGCGACCAGCCCAAGGAAGAGAGTCCGGTTCAAGGAGGTGCTTGATCTTGTCATTGTAAACATCCACCGCCAGCACTGTATGCGGCGTTTCGGACATCAATTTCTCGCACAAATGCGATCCAATGAATCCTCCGGCACCAATCATGCATATCGTGAACGGCTTTATAGTGTTTCCGTCCAGATCTACCCTTGCCGACGATGTCGCCATTGCTAAATATCCGGCTACAAGTTCCTTCCTCTTAGATTTTCTCTCTCAACGGAGTGGATTTGATCGGATATGGCGTCGACGGTAACGGAGGATGGTATTTAAAGCAGCGAGAGAAAAGAGGGAGATGAGGTTATGCTGGGTCTGGGGCCCACACAGCTATTAATAATAGGTGTTTCGGGATCCATACCCTCGCGCGTATTGCCACTCGCCATGTGATGATGCCACGTAGATATTGATGATGGTCTACTGTAAGGATGAACACAGCAGATAGGAACACTTGTGTCGGTTTGGTTTATTTATATTTTAATTTTTAATATTTAAATCAAATTTATATTATTTAATTCTTTTCAGAAAGAATGAAAATAAGACAGATTATGGTACTAAAAAGTTCAATAATTATTGTATTTATTTTAAGTAAATTACAATTTTCCTTCTCTTTCTACGGTTTTCAAAATCAAATGATGACAATCAAAGCTTGTAATTTAATCCTTATTTTTAGGTCATAATATTGTATAAAATCAAAGTATTTGAAATTAATTACATTCGACTCTTAATATTGTATCAGATATATAAATTGGGTTGGTACATGTTACTGGAAGTTATCTGTTACCGATTTATTTAATTATTTATTAGTTTTTATATTTTTATCTATCGAATATTAGGCGAAGTATCATGTGAGAAGCATTATAAGGAATTTGGATTCTTGATCATCTTTGATCTCAAACTTATCCATGAATTACATCTTGATATGGGGATTGATCTGGTGCATCTCATCTTGGTGATCTCATCATAATGTATATCTAATGATGGAGATATTTTCTTATGCTTCTTACCATAAGTCCTTGTTTGTTTTTAAAAAAAAAAGTTTTAAAGGTCTCTTATGTCTGATTTATTAAATTGATTGATATATTAACCATCGTATCAAATTTTATATAACATATAATTGATTGATATATGATATAAAATTTTATCATTATATATTTGATGATAAAAAAAAACTTAATAAGATATTGTGATATGAGCTGTATATGGGAATTCACACCGATGTAGTCACGTGGTCGGCTATCGCTATCTTCCTCTTTGATATTTTGACTTGCTAACTCATTAACAGCTATTCTTTTCACGCGCTCCCTAATTATGACCCACCCTATTACATTAATTGCACAATTAATTTTGTTTAATTCCTAATTTCGTAATTATAAAAAAATAAATGGAAATGATAAAAATACTTGTATTTAGATTGTTTTTACATTAATATGGATCAAGTTAGATTGTTTTTGAGACGGTGTTTATTTATCTCTTGATAGTTTCATTAATAGACAACCGTTTAATCGTTAAGAGATGAATTTTGTTTGTTAAAACAAAAGTTTGTCTCTTAGTGGTTCTAAAACACTCTAACCATGCAACATTCTAATTTCGTTGTAAACGATTACCAAACAATTATATTTTATTATGTACTACATTATGAACATCTCATCATTCTGACCACTTAATCATTTTGCATCAAACTATTCTGATCACTTAGTATTTAATTATGATTTGAAATGTTGTATCAATTTTACGCATGTTATCTTAAATGAATTATTTTTATTAACCTGAATATCCAACCTGTTATGTGAGTCGATTAATCCTAGAACGACCACTCGTTTTGCGGGTAGCCCGGAGTCATCGTATTTAAACCTATGTAGCCAAAGGGGATTTTGTTTTCAATGGTTATGCATTTTGTTGTTATTATAAATTAGAAGCAAATTTGCTATTATATTATAGGTGTTCTTAAATTTGGGGAGCAAATAACAAAAATGGATGGAGAGAAGGGTGGGAAAATAGAGAAAATAATATTGATTTTTTATAAATTGAACAAAAACATATGTTACTTTTTGTAAGTATAATTAAAATATATAGTTTAAGGCAAATTGCATGAAAAAATAACGTAATTTAACTTTATTTATATTTTGGGTAACGTACTTTTAGAAATTTCATTTTGATACCTAATATGTAAAGTTTTAAAAATTTAAGTATCCGGGTCACCATTTACCATGTTGATGTGGCGAGTGATGCGGTATCTAACTCAGTATTATTTGCTGAAACATTAACCGCATATCACATCACTCGCCACATCAATATGGTATCTGATTATTGCTTCAACCGGTTGGTCGGGTACTTAAATATTTAAACTTTACATCTTAGGTACCAAAATGAAAGTTTTGAAATTACGTTATCCAAAATATGAATCAAGTTAAAGTACGTTATTTTTTCATGCAATTTGTCCTATGATTTGTAATAAAAAGTTGAATTTTTGAAATTTTAATAATATTTCTAAAAAGTTTTAATTTATTTATTCTCTTTCCTATCACATTTGAAATAAAAGTTTTGCAATAAAACTTATTATTATTTTTCTTCTGTTTCACATTCTCTCTCCTAAAAGAGTTTCAATAACGCGATTTTTTTACTTTGCTCATATTTTCCTCCATTTCCTTTGCTTTCCTTCGTATAACAGCTTTTGAGAACACAGCGTAAAACCCCCCCAACTTATTTTCATATTTTGAGTTATTACATATCTTACATTTCTTGAACATATAAACCTTTTAAACTTATTGAAATCGAACAGATAAATCATTGAATCTATCAAAATTTCCAACAGATTAATACTTATTTTTTAGATTGAATAAATCATCGAATACTTATCTATCTTTCATATTTTAAGGTGATTAAGTTCCTGGATTTTTTTTATATAAATAAATTGTTACAGTTATTAAACGAAAAAAAAAAATGTGTCATTTTCCTATTGATGTACCAGCACATGAATATTAGAGTACAATAATCCAGTAAACGAAAAAAATGTACCATTTTAATTATCCCATTCTTATTTTTTAGATTCAGATGACAATCTCATGTGTGTTATAGAACAAACAAAACAAAACAAAACAACGAGAAAAATATATATGAGAAATATGTAATTCTCATTAATCATTAGTCATTTATATATAGATGAGTTACAAGTAAATAACTACGAAATATTTCATTTACAATCTAAATTTGATATATGTTTCTATATCTTTGTCATCGTATCATTTACGATGACATATTTTTTTTCATTATCATGGATATCCAACCCGCTATGCGAGCCGACTAATCCCAGGGCGATCACCTGCTTTGCAGATAGTATGGAGTCACCGCATTTGAACCTTCATGGCCACAAGAGAATTTTTATTCCTCCTTTGATTTGAACTTGGGACTTCCTGGTACTTTTGACCTTTGGAGCCAAGCTCAAACCAATCAGGCACCACCCTTGTAGTTTACGATGACATATTTATCATACAACATTGTGTTTGTTATGATTCCATTATTTTCATATGAATAGAGTTTTTCGTATTGAATGTGAAAAATAAATAATAGATGATGGAAATTGTATATAATCATTTTGTTTTATTAATTTATCGGTTTCCTTTACAGTTGATCCACACACGAACACACGTAGATCCTCCAATAGGTGCTAGCCCAAAAGAACCTTAAATCTAAATATGTGTATGTGGACTAATTAACCAAATTTAGAGAATTTAATTCTCTTAACTGAATTGGCCTGACACCCTATTTATACATGTTGGTATCATAGTCACCCTATAACTATAAATAAGGTTTGATATTTATATGTAAATAATTATGCTTATTTTCATATAATATCATGTAATTATCATAATTACCTTTTAACACATATTATATAATTATTTTAAACATGAAGTATTAACTATATTATTTTAACAATTCCAACATTAACTATATTATTAAAATATTCAACATGTTTAATAAAATATTATTTTAGCTCATAAACATTTATTTTCAAAATTTATTACTGGTGGGGTAAAATTAAATACCATTTCCATCTTCTATATAGAGTTTTAGACATCTATCTAAATTTAGAGATTTTTGTATCATCTCACTTCTTTTTTCTAGTTTACCGTACGTTGTAGCATGACTGTTACAGTATAAAATTAACTCGCATAAATTAGCAAGATTTATATTATATCCCACTTGTTGGAAATGCTATATTACGATATTAACCAGAAACAACATAACAGTAATATCCATTAAGGTTTATCATATTGACTTTCATTACCATATATTTATAATTCATTATGTTAATACACTGTTTCACAAGAAATAGTTAAGTCTCATGACCAGTTAATTTTTGTTTTGCTAACACGAAATTACGTTTGGAATATAAATAGAATATAAAAATTAACTCCAACTAAATACAACGTCTCCAACATGTAGCTCAATTGTTAAAAAGGTAGAACGATTTTATCTAAATATATAACAGGTCTTAAGTTATATTCCAACGGTTATGAAGAAAATTGGTATATATTTCCGTGACAACTTGTCTAACCATGACATTGTGATAGGTTGTCAAGAATATTAATTAACAAATATTTAAAATATATTATTATTATTATAGGTATAAAATAATGAAAATAAATAAAAAAGAAAAATGGATGCGAAGGAGAAGCTGAAAGGAAGTGCTACGAGAACAATAGTACAAGTGGCTCATGTGCACTCTCCAAGTCCTATTATTTGATGCACGTGTTTTGGCTAAATGTCTTGGAGTTATTTACAATCTAAATGATATATATATATATATATACACATATATATATATATATACATATATATATATATAGGACTGTAAACGAATTGAGCGAACATGAACGGAGGTTTGTTCACGTTCGTTTAACTTAACTGAACAAACGAACGAACACGAACGGTAAACGATCAAATTTTTTTATGTTCGTGTTCGTTCATTTAGAAATCAGGTGTGTTCGTGTACATTTATGTTCGTTGTTAACATGTTAAACGAACATAAATAAACGGGCTAAATGAACATAAGTAAATATTATTTGAGTTCAAAGTAAATAAACAAAAGATTATATATAATTTTAATATATAAACGAACGAGTCTCTTGTTCATATTCGTTCGTTTAATCAAACGAACAACAAAATTTGTTTATGTCCGTTCATTTATTAAATAAACGAACTTTCCGCCGAACGGTTCGCTGAACGTTCAGTTCGTTTACAGCCCT